GATTTTGAAAAAACCCACTAAACGGCCTCAAATCGCGCTGAAACTTCGCCAGAAGACTGAACAAAGTAAAAGCAACAACTGAAGCAGGTTTTGAGGCAAACTGTTGAGTGAAACGTTTTATTTTCGTAACTTTATCATAACTCCCATACATTCCCTTATAAACCATACACAGTAACCTTGTTTGGGCTGCCTGTGCATAGGTCAAACGCACTCGTGCGTGAAGTTCAATGGTAGAACTTGAATGTTGGATCGTAATCCAACAATGACGAAAAGATTATGTGTTTGTATCTAAAAACTTTAAAACCTTAGTCCTTGAACGAGAAACTCTAATGGTTCATTTTAATATACTGTTTAGAAAATAACGTTCTCAAAGTTGAATGTTGAACTTGATGTATGTCAAAAGAACAATCAGTGTTAAATTTTGTCCAGACACGGAAAGCTATTAACGAATGTTCAATCGCGGAACTCGAATGTTGGACGAGATTACAGCTAAGTTGAAATCGAAATCTTCAATGTCGGAAAAGCAACTAACAATATTGCATTGCAAGTGAAACACTGAATTCTTTATTAGAATGTTGAAAACCTGAGGTTGAATTTTGTCGGGAATATAACGCCATCAGAAATTTAAGGCTACACTTATGTATCTAGGTATGATGAAGGTTAGAACTACAGTATACTCTTAGGAGATCGCAAAATTGTAATGAAAAGCATCAGGGGATTGTCCAGGTTTTTGTGATGAATGTTACCTAACATGTACAAATTTTGTACAAGACCCAAGGGAGCACGTTAAAATTTTGATTGTGTTGGTTTATCTTCGATTTTATCGCACGTATTCTAAGATATAGCAGGCGTTCCTTGTAGTGCTTGTTTACGTGCGCGCGCGCTAGCTGTCCGCGCGCTACACTTCATGGCAGGCGTTCCTTGCTTTAGTCGGACTAGCGAATTTACTCCGAAAACCGACGAATATCTTGCGAGGAGCGGAGCGACGTTTAAAAAAGGAGGGGAGGGAAACTGTAAACCACGTGACCCTTTTCAGCCAATCAAACAATCCAAAATGAAAATATTTTTCGCTCTATGCTGGTAGCAGTATCTACAGAAACGGATTACGTGACAAATTCAAAAAAATGACGTGTAACGTCAAACAGATGAAAACAAACAAAATGGCGTCCTTGAGCGAAGAGCAAAACAAAGTTTTTAATATCGTAGAAAAAGGTTTTAGTGTGTTTTAGTGGAATAGCTGCAAGCGGAAAATAATTTTTAATTAGATATATTTTAAAGGAATTGAGAAAGGGAGCAAGCGGTGTTTTTATCACCGTATCAACGGGCATTGCGGCTCAAAATATAGGAGGATCGACAATACATTCATTCGCCGGCGTCGGAACAGGAAAAAATTGGCTCACGAACTGGTGAACATAATCAAGAATAATCCTACTGTTGAAAAGTTTGCCTGATCACATGGCTTTAGCCCTTTTTCGTTACACTCGGCCTTGTAAACTAAATATGCCTCCGTAGTTTTGATAGCTTCCCCATTAGATACGGAAAATAAACTAGTGATTATTCTGTAGAAAAATTCAATTTCCTTTTACATTAGATGCATGACGGGACTGGGGAAGTGGGACTGAGTGAAGACACCAAGATTCAAAACTGGCACCCTTGGTCTCGTTTAGTCATTAAAACATTTGTATCATTAGTTTATGCACACAAATATTTATTATAGCTAAATCTATGCTACTGTAAGGGTATAAATACTTGGTTAATGGCATGAGTTGCATTAAATTGTGTATAATTAATTGTCTGTTATTTTTCAGATGCCAAGTAGTATACAGAATAGGGGTTCTGGGACGGGCGGATCAGGTCTCTTTTATCATTAAAGATCTCCCCGAGCCAGTTTTGTTTCTCTATGTCTTCAAATCTCGTTTTGATAGTAACAAAGACGTTTGGCTGGCGAGAGGTATTGGAATTTATTTCTAGCCATATATCACCCAGCCCATTTTTTAATAATGACTCTTTTACTTTNTTAATGTCCATGCAAAGTTTCAGGACAAAATTATTGGCAAAATTTCTTTCAATGGAATTATTTGAAAATTTTTGTCTATGACTCAAAATTAAATCAAAAATTGGCAGACGTACGGCTAGTTCTTCCAGAAATGGGTAGCATGGGTGGCGTTCGCGGCTAACGCGTCTTCTTCACCGCTGAGAGTCCAACGGGTCGGRTCGCTGGTTCAAGCCCTGCGGTCTTCACATSTGAATTGAGTTTGTTTGATGTGTTGTTCTCYCCYWWGCYACGAGGGTTTTCTCCGGGTTCTCTGGTTCCCTCCCTCCGTAAAAATCAACATGYGAGTTGAGCGTTGTGTGCATATAATATYAAATGTAGTGGTAGTGCGTGTGGGCGAAAAGTGTTCCCAATTAGTGCGAAAGCGCTAGAACGACTAGACACTTAAATAAAGTGATTTATTTATTTATTTTATTATTATTTTAAAACGTATGAGTATAATAMGTGTTCCAGAAAACGTAACCCCATTACTTGGTTCCAGTCCCCTGTTAGAATTCATAGGTAAAGGCTAATTATCAATTAAGCAACAGAAAGTCGCGCGCCCATGTCTAATTGATTTATAATATAGCTAGATTCAAGAAAAGATGAACCGTGCAGCTCATGGGGAAATAGCTCAAAGGTTTTCAACCAATCAGAGCGCGCGTTATATCACTCATCTTGCTAAACAGGTTGCTATTACTTGTTTGGAGCGCGCGCATTCGAACCGAACGTTTGAATCACGCGCGTCGCAACACGCTCGTTCCTCACGATGACCGCGTACGAAAACATATAACAGAAATGCATTCAAACACTCCATCATTTTGAAATTTGCCTCAAAACTTGAAAACTATAGAGCTTTAAAAACTTTACTTTTGCTGAAAAAAATGGCATCTGACCGTAGGCTAGGCCGAGATACACCGCGGGGATCTTTCATAGGACCATTTACTACAAGAATCAATRACTTGAGAAATTCTGATGCATTTCGTCGTCTAGAAACCACAGCCAGATGTAATCCTTTGACTTCCTTGTTTATTGGGACAT